TCGTATCGTGCCACATCGACAAATTCGATCGTAATAACTATTGTCAAAGCAATAAAATTCACAAAACCTCTGTAATGACAGAACGACATAACCTGTAAAACGACATGATTTTGTATAAGTCAAATAAACTGTCATATCGTGTCACGTCGACAGTTTCAATTGTAATAACTATTGTTAAAACAAAACTTTTGTAATAACAGAACGACATAATCTATAAAACGACACGATTCTGTTTAGGATTGAACAAAGCAAAAAATTTATAAAAATTTTTTTATATAAGTCATATCGTGTCACATCGACAGTTTCGATTGTAATAACTATTTTATTGTTAAAGCAATAAAATTGTTCACAAAACTTGCGTAATGACAGAACGACATAACCTATAAAACGATCTGATTCTGGTTAGGATTCGACAAAGCAAAAAAAAAAAAATAAAAATTATTTTGTATAAGTCAAATCGACTGTCGTATCGTGTCACGTCGACAGTAATTCGATTGTAATAACTATTTTATTGTTAAAACAAAATTATTCGCAAAACTTTTGTGATGGCAGAACGACATAACCTATAAAACGACACGATTCTGTTTAGGATTGAACAAAGCAAAAAATTTACAAAAAATTTTTTATATAAGTCATATCGTGTCACGTCGACAGTTTCGATTGTAATAACTATTTTATTATCAAAACAAAATTATTCACAAAACTTGTGTAATGACAGAACGACATAACCTATAAAACGACACGATTCTGTTTAAGATTCGACAAAGAAAGAAATTTGCACAAATTGTTTTGTACGAGTCAAATCGACTGTCGTATCGTGTCACGTCGACAGTAATTCGATTGTAATAACTATTTTATTATTAAAACAAGATTATTCACAAACACTTTTGTAATGACAGGACGACATAACCTATACGAGTCCTGCACGTGTAATATTTCTTACACGCGACTGTCATCTGAAACATCCGGCCGGTGAAGTGGTGAAGGACACCACGAAGCGGTCGCGGTTAGCTTCGTGCAAATATTCGCGCCTGCCGTACCCACGCGTCGCCAGCATTGAAGGCTCCACGAGTGAAAAGCTGATGTAAGCCGGGTCGCGCGCGAATGGGGATGGCCCGTCCAGCTCGCCGTCTGTTCTTTATTGCGACAGTTAAACAAGCGACTTGAATATTTGATTGGCAATTTCACTGTGGCACAAAAGATCGACCCCCTCTAGACTTGACTGGCTCTCTCTTGGCTCCCGGGGACCACCGTGTCTATGACTATCCGCGCGTACAATCAGAGACGTGAGCGGCGCGTCGCGTCGGGGCCACGCTCCCTTCCGAATCCCTTCCTTTCCCCTCCCCCCCCCCCTCTTTCGCTCCAGGTTGCTCAGCCAGCCCTCCGCTGGGAATAATCTCCGACTCGTCGACCTTGAAATCGCTATCTATCCAGCCGGCTGCTCGTCACACCCGGCGAAATCCGCCCCCGGGCTCTCGCCGATTTGCTCGACGGAATTAATTTCTAACCGACGGTCGCCCTCGAAGGTTAAGCGTTCGTTTCCATATTCCTGTGCCGACTCGCCGCAGAGAAACCGAGAGTCATTGATCCTCCGCGAAGAGCCGCTTCGATATTTTTGTCAGTGTGTTTGGACTTTGCACGGAGCAAAGAAAGCGGCGAGTTTCTTCTTTTTTTTTTTTTTTTTGAGCATTTGACTTTTTATTTTTTGTAATTATCTCTATTGCAGATAGTTGTACTGGTGTTGGAAGATAATCCGAGTTATCGGATTTGTAGAGTGTGTTTCAACGTCGGAAATTCGTCAATTCGCACGGGGGGATAGTCGAGGCTGAGAAAAAGCGGGACTCGTCTTCGGGGAGCTGATTAAGTCGAATCGCGGTAACTCGTTTACATTCGTTTGCATTTAACGTCAAGCGTGAACAATGTTCTCCGACCGTAGTTGAGAAACTCACGAAATTACTTCCAATTTTACTCGTTGGATCTTGCCGGATCCTGTATCCTGCGTTTCTTCTCGAGACGCGAGACCAAATCGAATACCTTGTTGAGCAACCACGCGCATCTACTGCCAACGATAAGGTGTATCGGAGATATCCCATTAACGTTTCGCGCCCTTTCAATGAGAAAATTAGATTCTCGCGCGAACCTCGTTCACGTAACTTTGAGCGGCGTTGCCGATCTCCGGAGGATCGAAGCGGAGAAGACTGCATCGTAGACGGTACACGACGTGTCCTCGTTCGATCGACGCCCTGGCATTCAGTCATCGACTGGTGGTTGGTGGCACGTTAACCGATTAAGTGAGAAATGGCTTTGAACGGTCGAACGGAACGATTTAACCCTATTAATATCGATCGAAAATGTTCTACCTTGAATTTCGAGGTCAAAAACTTTTTTTTTGCATTCTACTCATCACGAAGGTGAAACCTAAGTCTTTAATGTTTCTTAATCGTTAAACACTGCGGACTGACAGTGTGAGTGCTAACAGCGACTTTATGGTTCTGGATTAGGTTTGATTTATCATAGTCGTAGCATCAGTGTGAGTCTAAGTAATCAAACAATATAACTGACTGTTAACATTATTCGAAATACAAACATCACGTAATATATACGCGTCCAAAACCATAAAGTCGCTGTTAGGACGCACAGGTCCGCAACGTTAAATGATTGAGAAACTTTTTGGTCGCAACCTTGGAAAAGTTGTACCTTGAATTTCGAGGTCAAAAACTTTTTTTTTGCATTCTACTCATCACGAAGGTAAAAC